ATCAATGATATATTCAATAATTTTACCAGTACCACAGTTCTAACATATCAATTCTTCTTCCATCTTCCTTTTTCACAATCCAATTTTCACATGCATATGAGGTGGTTGAAAGAACTATGGCTTCTGTCAGATGCACCGTATGTTTTCTAATAGATGATAAACATCAATCCGTTCAAGATAAAATTAGTGTCTAATATTTAATGGGTTCTTATGTTGTTGCAAGCACTATTTTAAGGGCCTTCTTTTACAGATAAAATCAAATTCAACAAGATAAATGTTACCTAATAACCCACACCCAGTCTGTAGTAAATCTGGATTTAAGCACAAAATGTCTGACTGCAAAATACTTAGTTTTTCATATGATCACTTATGTTATTCCATATGTCATAGTTTCACCATTTTCCCTTTTTACTATTGTGCCAACAATATATATCAGATTAAATGCACATGCATAAACACACACACACACAAAGAAAAGATCCTCATATAATAAAGACTTGTTATATGCTCTAACAAATAATTAATGTTCCATATTGCTTATGGACAGATAGCACAGAAGGACATAAATAAAACTAAGAATGGTATAAATTATCTTTGGTACTATAGGATAAGCACTAGACTGCTAAATACAAGGTTAGCAGTTCAAATACACCAGCCATTAGGTAGGAGAAATAATAGGTTTTCTCCTCCTGTGAAGATTTGCAGCCTCAGATACCTTATATAGAGTTTTTAGAATTGGAATTGACTCAATGGTAATGAGTTTGAGGTTTTTGATGTGACAGTACTTTTTAAAAATTATGCTGTAAGAAAGTAAAATCTTCATTTTTCTTTATATATGCACATTTTGTACAATTTCCAATATAATCAGGAAAACACAGGCTATAAACTCAAATCTGCTTCAGTTCAATGCCTGTGCTCTCAACTACTGTGCTCCTTACAAATCTATTCTCCACATAGAGCAATTTTAAAAACCCAATATAAATATGCCACTCTTTACTTAAATCCTTTAGTGGTTTATTGTTAGTCTCAGTAAAATTCAAGTACATGTAGCATGTCCGAAATATGAGAGACAAAGTCTGGCCATTCTGGCTTCTAAGGAGCATTCTTACAGGTACTTTTTCCTGACTCTACTTCTTCCAAGAAAGATTTGTTTGTTCTTCTAGCAGTCCATGGTATTTTTAATATTCTTCTTCAACAACATAACTTAAGTGAATCAATATTTCTATGGTCTTTCTTATTCATTGTCCAATTTTCACATACCTATGAGGCTATTGAAAATACCATGGCTTGGGTCAGGTAGGTACACCTTAGTCCTCAAACTGACGTCTTTGCTCTTGAACAGCAAAGGTCTTGTGCAGCAGATTTACCTAATGCAGTACATCATTTTATTTCTTGAATGCTGCTTCCATGAATGTTGATTGTGGATCCAAGAAAAATGAAGTCTTTGGTACCTACAATCTATTCTCCATATATCATGATGCAATTTATTGTTCAAGTTGTGAATTTTAGTTTTCTTTACATTGAAGTACAAACCATCCTGAAGGCTGTATTTTTTATCTTCATCAGTAAGTATTTTAAGTCCTCTTCATTTCCAGACAGAAAGGTTGTACTATCTGAATATCACAGGTTGCTAACGAGTCTTCCTCCAATCCTGATGACACATTCTTCCTCATGTAATCCATCTTCTCAGATTATTTGCTCAGCATATAGACTGAATAAGTATGGTGAAAGAATACAACTATACCATTAATCTTTCCTGATTTAAATCTATTCCATATCCCCTTGTTCTATTGGAACCACTGCCTCTTGGTCTATATGCAGGTTCCTCATGAGCACAATTAAGTATTCTGAAATAGTGATTCTTCACAATGTTTCTTCCATAGCTTGTCTTGATCCACCAGTCTAATGCCTGTAAAGCACAGGTAAACATTTTTCTGGTATTGTCTACTTTTAGTTAAGATCCATCTCATGTCAGCAATTATATCCCTATTTCTACATCCCTTCAGCATCCAGCTTGAATATCTGGGTGTTCTAATTATCTTCAGCAAAATTTTACTTGCATATAATATTAACTATATTGTTGAATAATTTCTGCATTCTGTTGCATCAGCTCTCTTTGGAATGGGCACAAAAACGGGTCTCTTGTAATCGGCTGGTCATACAGTTGTCTTCCGAATACCTTGGCACAGATAACTGAGCACCTGTAGTGCTCCATCAATTTGCTGAAAGATTTCAATTTGTATTCTGTCAATTCCTGAGGCCTTGTTTTTCAGCTATTCCTTCATTGCACCTTGAACTTCTTCCTTTAGTGCTATTGGTTCTTAATTATATGCTTCCTGTTGAAATACTTGAACATCAGTCATTTCTTTTCAGTACAGGGACTCTGTGTATTCTTTCTGTTGATGCTTTGTACCTCATTCAGTATTTTGTCCATGGAATCCTTCAATATTGCAAATCAATTTTTATTTTCTTCAGTTCTTTCAGCTTGAAAAATGCTGACAGTGTTTTTCCCTTTTGGTTTTCTAACTCTAGGTCTGTGTACATTTTATTATAATACTTTACTTTGTCTTCTCAAACTGCTCTTTGAATTTTTCTTTTTATCTCTTTGACTTCCTTATCTCTTTTATTCTCTTTGGTATCTCTTCACTAAAGAGCAAATTTCAGTCTATTTTGACATGCATTTTGTATCCTATAATGATCATACAATAATAAAGTTATATGTTACAGAATTAATACAGAGAAAGATAGGGAGATGATTGAGCTGTTTTATAGTGGGCTATTAACTACAATTAAGTGATTAATAAATATTAATAAATTGATTGACTTGTTTAGTATAAGTGCATCACTATTTCTACATAAATAACACAAATGGCAATAGCTAACAACAAGGGTTTATTGTAATACATAGCCTATATCTTAGATAGCACTTACATTAAGATATATTATTTATACTAAGTACTTTTAATGAAAAAATATTTCTTGTATTTTTTTATTCTCCACATACCACATAGTGATACAAATGTTACACTAGCTACCTGGTTTCAACTTCCTAGAAATATTTTTTTCTGAAAAATAGAATTTCCTTTTTAGTGTTAAAAAAACAAAACAAAAAACTATGCCTTTGTTGTTGTTGTTATATGCCATGGAGTTGGTTCTGACTCATAGCGACCCTGTACAGAGTATTTGAGGCTGTAAGTCTTTACGGGAGCAGAAAGCCTCATCTTTCTCCCGTGTAACAGCTGGTAGTTTCGAACTGCTGACCATGAGATGAGCAGCCTGATTTGTAATCACTACACTACCAGAGCGCCTTCCCTAATAATCTTTTAAAAAAGAGACATGTTTACAAAAATATGATTATGAAGTGAGGCAATTAACAACAACATACCTCAAATACAGCCTAAAAGTTTGAAAATAGTTGTTGTTTTTTACATCAGTATATAATCTTTGTATATATATGCATATGTATTGTATATATATCATATTATATATATCAGCATATAAACTTTTAGGCAACTATGAATACCATACCTTGTTACTCTAGTTCAGTTTTTCCCATGACCAATGGCATAGCACAGGGTTTGTAAGATGACTGGAGTTAGGGATACTATCTTTGGCTGAGAAAAAGAGTTGTCTGTTTGTTCCTGAACAAAACAAAATGATTCCTATGAAAGTCCAGTGAGAGACCTGGACCTCATGCAGTACTTTACTACTGACGCTTTCTTGCAGATACCCGGGCTTTTGATGGTGTTCTGTAGCCATTAAAAACCAAAACTCAAAATGCTCAGCAATATTCATATGTATGGGCATATAATGAAAACATGCTTTTTTCCCATTGTCGTTGTTCGGTGCCATCGAGTCGGTTCCCATATTGACCCTGTATAGAATTTCTGGGGAGTGGCTGGTGAGCTAGAACTGCCTACCTTACAGTTCAACATGACCATGCAGTCCAGTGCATTAACCCACAGTGCCACACCAGAATTCCATAGAGGTCTTTCTCTGTAACCAGTTATTTTTAAGTGATCATCATGTTACTTTGCCAGGTTTACTGTGAAAATGACTCTCTGGCTTGTTGTTGTTGAGTGCCATCGAGTTGGTTCCAAGTCATAGCAACCCTAGATACGATTCCTGAGGAGCAGTTGGTGGTTTGAACTGCTGACCTTGTGGTTCAGAGTCCAGTGCTGATCCACAGTGCCATACCAGAAGTCCTCTCTGGCTATTAGGATTTCATTCATTTCCTGAATGTGAGATGTGTTGAAAACTATTACCATCATTGTATAAATATATATGTTTGGAATTAACTAATTATTATTAATAGTCCTGACTCAGCACCACGTAGGTTAATTCTTGGTGTTATAATAGCAGTGCTGATGATGGAGAATACACTTAGATCTGCCACAAAATTTTGTAAGTGTGAGTCGTTATTACTGAGGCAGAAAGGGAAAAGAAACTCTACTTTTGTTTGTTCTTTTTCTCATCACTTGAATTCCTTTTCATTCTTCTTGGTACCCATGAATAATCTATTTTATGAAACAGTGGCATTTAGAGTTGTTGCACATTGGTTTACTTCAGTAAAATTCCCTGACCTTACCCCACTCCACCCAAAAATCTTTCTCTTCTTGTATCCAGTACACTTGTAATTTGTTCTTTCAGTGAGTGGAAGCTGGGAGAGAGAATTGGGTAAGTGTAAACATTAGTGTTACGAGTTGGATAATTGGGAGATCAATCACATCATACCCTCATGGACTGTAATACAGGCAGAGCATGAATTTGATTCAATATTTCCTCTGTCCGCAGAGTTATGATCTGTCTATCTTTATGTGCTGTCTTTTGGTACTGGTAGAAATTGATGATTTTTTCTTCCCTGAACAGATGTGGAAGAGCAAGAGATATAAAACTTAAAAGCCTTTAAATACTTCCTCCAGACTCTCAAGTGTTGGCATTAATGATGTTTAGGAGGAGCCTGGCAGTATACTAACCCTTAACCCTGGTTCTCTTCACAGTGGGTAAACCTCACAAGTGCAACTACTGTGGACGAAGCTACAAGCAGCGCAGTTCACTGGAGGAGCACAAGGAACGCTGCCACAACTATCTCCAGACTGTTAGCATGGAGGCTGCTGGGCAGGTCCTGAGTCACCATGGTGGGTAGAAATGGCATTTTCATTCAGCCCGAGACTGCTTCGATGGTGTTTTACGGATTTAAAGTTCCATCCACTTTTCAAAACTGAAGATAAAATCTTATTCCATTAAAGCAGTTTTAGATCATATTAACTTTCTGGGGGATTCTTTTATGCATTTGAAATGAATTGAACTTTGGGATACTTTGTAAACAATCTATATTGATCTTTTGTGCTACTCCAGAATTACTTCTGATAATGTGTCTTTGATGTTAATATAAGCATTGGTAGCCAGCAGCCATGGTGCAATTTACTATTCTCTTTCATTAGTTAACACTTAAGTATTGGAGATAGTTCCACATAAATCTGTAGATTTTCTAAAAGAATGAGCTGGCTATATACATACTTTTTCATAACTCTTAGGTCAGGAACCCTGGTGGCACTGTAGAATAAGTGCTGGGTGGCTAACTGCAAGATCGGCAGTTCAACCCCACCAGCTGCTCTTCAGAATAATGATGAGGCTCTCTGATCCCATAAAAATCTAGTCTCTGAAACACTGAACCAGGGTCACTATGAGCTATAATTGACTCTACAGCCGTGGGCTTGGTTTGGTATAAGTGGTCAGTGAATCAATTTTTAAAATGTCTCCAATCTCTCTTGAAGTTTATTAATTTTAAAATGACTGATTTTGCCCTCTACAAGTATGAGAAATGATATATACTAAAATTAAACATCAACATCCCTCCACAAAAATCAAAACCCACTATACACAGTGGTAAGTAGGGAACTAGTCCCTGAGATTTATAAATTTAGAATTCTCTATTCATCAAAATACTTCAGACATATTATCAGGAAAGACCAGTCCTTGGAGAAGGATATCATGTTTGGTAGAGTGGAGGGTCAGAGAAAAAGACTAAGACCCCCAGCAAGATGGGCTGGCATGGTTACAGCAGCAATGTGCTCAAACTCAGCGATTGTGAGGTTGGCGCAGGACCAGGCAGAGTTTCGTTCTGTTGTTCATAGGGTCACTATGTCGGTACCAACTCACTCAATGGCACCTAACAACAGCAACAACATCCCTCAAAAACTAATTTTAATACTTTAGTCTAATGCAGGAAATATAATATACTTAATTCATTAGATTTGGAGAGTGTCTTCTCCTATTAATTATATTTGTTATACTGATTGATTTTATTATTCAAATAATACATACAAAAACGATACCATCTATAGCTTGCCTCACTCAAGATAAAAAAAGTTTGACCAATATCAAATGGTTATATTCAGTTATTGTGATCATTGCTTTTAAATTTATATCTTTTTAGTGACTTATAGTCAGCTCAAGGATTATTTGTGCTTCTACTTTGCTTGTTTTATTTTCTGTCTTTTATTTCCTTAACATACTATATGCTGTTCCCAATATGTGTTTATTGGGCAGCTAGTGATAGCGCTATAGGATTAGCACTGGACTGCAAACCACAATGTCAGCAGTTAAAACCCACCAGCTGCTTCTCGGAAATACAGAACTGATGTGATGGTACTTAACAACAACAACAGTGATTATTTGTTTATTGAATTTGGCTTTTAAAAAATATTTATTTTCTTACCTAAGTAATTGAAACAAGTCATTGTATTGAAGGCAGGTTATATAATTTAAATAATCAAATTAAATTCTGATTTGTTGTAATTTAGTCCACTTATTTTTTAATGTTTACATCATTAATTAACATTTTTGAAAACCTGTGTTTCAAGTAAATGGACACAGCATAGGATAAAGAGCACAGAGGCTAAAATAGTGATCTTAGTTATAGCTTAGCAAACCTGTCTGACTGTGTTCCTCAGAGGCTCTCTGTAAGAATTAAATGTGATTGCATGTGCATTGTTGTTGTTAAAGTTGGTTCCAACTCATAGTGACCCTGTATAGGGTGTCCAAGGAGTGACCATTGGTTTTGAACCGCTGGCCTTACAGTTAGTAAATCCAGTGCTTATACTATAGCACCATACCTGGACCCTGTATGCATAATAACACCCAGTAGTATCTTTATTATTTCTAAATGTTTAATTCCTTCTTTAAATTATTACATTTATGGAATTAAATATTTAGAAAAAATAAATGTATCATCTCCTATAAACTTGTTTCTTATCAGAATTAACATAGGCATTGGAAAAATGCTAGCCCAGCAAATTATTTGGCTTCCTTTATTTCTCATGCTTTCACTTAAAAACAATTGAATTTCTAGTTGTATTCCGAAAAATGCTTTCTGATGTTTAAAGAGGACTGTTTGTTGGGAGACGGAAGGTGAGATTCCTTTTACCATAAGAGAATTAAAATTTGGCTAGCATAAAATTAAAAAGAGGTGATATATTAAAACAAAATATTTTAATAAAAAAACAAGTCCCACTTATTTGTAGTTCTGTTGCAGGTATAAGTAACCTGCCTTGGGATTCACTGCCTACTATGCTCACTGTTTTTTTAATTGTTGGGTTTAAGGTTGACTTGAGAAAGGAAGGCTGGAGACTTGGAGGCATGCCAGAGCTTTCCAAAGACACCTTATGGCACTGCTTCTAGCTTTTCCTTGTAATGTTCTTCCATTTGGTAGAATTATATGTGTGCAAATTCACTGGTGAATTCATTTTTCCATTCACAGTTAATTATGTAACTCTGGCACATACACACATGAATGAGAGATAGGATTTCTTCTAAAAGTTCTTATAATGCTTCAGGGGACATAAGGTGTATGTAAATGATTATAATCAACATTTAACCATTTAATGACAAGTCAACCAGTTAAAGAATAATTGCAGAGAAGAGAATGAAAGGGTATGTTTTTGGTGGGGAGGGGGATGGAAGAGGAGGGATTAAGGGAGAAATAGATGACCCAACAAGCAGGGGCTTTAGCATCAACTGGCCCCTTCGCGTTTCCCAGATTACTTAGCCTCTCAGAGCATTGGCTGTTACACACAGAGCGGCCCTGAAATTGGTCCAGACCAGGGAGAAGTCAGGAAAGAGAATGGATATCTGGTAGAGCAGAGGGCATAGTCAAAGGGTAGAGGTGAGGGCAAGTTTCATATCAGTTGTAAAACTAGAAATATATTTTTAAATTTTGGACATAGTGTTAACTACATTTAAGCTACATAATATAATTAAATTTCAATTAATGCCATTTTTTGATGCTCTCTTTCTAGATGTACTGTAATTATGCTTTGAAATGTTTCTAAATTTATTTTCCCTTTATTAACATGATTAATGGGAAATTGACATTATGAGACAGGGATTGATAACTTCCATTAGAGAAAGGTCTGAGTAAAAGCTAATGGAGTTTGTCGGTAGTCTTGTCCCTTACATCTAAGTTGGTGTGTCTCCCCTAAACAGAACCAGTCTTCCCTTTCTCCCTATTCTGCTCCAACTTGTCTTTTTTATTTTCAGTAATTGCTATGGGGATTGCCATCTCTGTTGTTGCCATTAGCTCTTTGAAACTATTTATTCTGCTGTTGTTGTTTTTTTTCATTTTTGGGATAATTATATTTCTTCACCTGTGTTTTCCAAAACATGTTACTTGCCATGTTGTCTCTTCTAGTGAGGAAATATCTAAAGTAAAAAAGACAATTCTTTCACTTTTTTCAAGAAGTATCTCTTTAGTCAGCTTCTTTGGAATGCTTGTCAAGTTCTATGGAATGTTTTGTGATGTAAAGATAAATAAAGACAATTTCTTTTATAAATTTATATTATTCTCTTGTATGAAATATATACCTTTTAAAAAAGAGAAATAAAATGACACAAAACCATACTTTAATAAATGCATGCATACAATTCTCTGAGATCAAGAGTGTGAAAGTGATCTACCTATATCTGAAGAAGTAAAAAAATAGCTTCTTAGATGTTTCTTAGTGTTTGGACTAAGAATGAGGGATGGGCAAAAGGTGCCTGGTATGGACAGGACACAGAGAGTACATTCTAAGCAGAGAAATTGCCGTCGATAGAAGCTTTGAGGTATGAGAAAACCTTTTCCTGGCTGTTGAGCATAGTTGGAATTAAAGAAATGGTCTGAAACTGATACAATAGGTGTGCTACAAATGGAGAGCCTTTCCTGCCAGCTCAGTGCTTGAATTTCATTGTATAACTGATGAGGTGTCACTAGGATAACAGTTTATATCTTCTGAAGAAAAACGTCACCAGTGTGAACTAGGAGATCATTGCCTACCTAGGAACGTAGGTAGTAAGAGAGAGACAATAGAGTGAAAATGCCGAGGAAAACATGAAAAGGTGTTGTGGGGAGACGAGAGACCAACATCGAGTAAGAGTTAAAGAGATATTTTAGAGACAGAATGAAAATTTCTTAATAAATATTTATGTGGCTTTTAAGGGGAAACTTTGGCATATAGTTATAAGAATAAAGCAAATATTGATTTGCATTTTATGGCAGGTTATATTATTTGAAAGTTAGCTCTATGCAACATTTTCAAGTGTTTTCAGTTTGAAAAAGGTCTCAAAAACCAATATGTAATTACTTCCTTATCCAAGCTCTAGTAATATAATAGATTATGAGCTGAGTTGCTAACCACAGAGTCAGCAGTTCGAATGTACCAGTTGCTGCACGAGTGAAAGAATAGAAGTTAGTGACAGAAGAGAAGACATCTCTTAGGTTTTGCCTGTCCAATATCCCTTCCCCTTCCTTTGGTAACAGGGCTACCGTTTTCCTTCAGGGATCATGTCTGTCTCCTACTGCAGTCTTGGTGGTACTGTCAGTTTACATGTCCTGCCCTCTCCTGGCCAGGAGGTAGACATGTGACTTAACCTGTTGTTGTTGTTGTTAAGTGCCGTTGAGTCGATTCCGACCCATAGCGACCCTGTGTAGGGTTTCCGAGCAGCAGCTGGTGAGCTTGAACCACCAGCCTTGCAGTTCTGGTGCATTTAGCCCACAGTGCTACACCAGGACTCCACTCAAGAGAATAGACCCTTATTAAGAGAACTGAAACAGGCTCAGAGCCTTTGTAATCTTGGGAGGTGAACTCCAAATAACAATGTCACTTGGTCCCATAGTCTCCTTATTGCACAAGAAGTCAGGCTCAGGGATCAGTGAGCATGGCAGTCAGCGCAGGAGCCCTTCTCGCCTGGGCTCTGGGTAGGCATAAAAATCTTGGTGTTCTTCCAGATGCTATTTTTGTCCCTTTTTTCTTCACACTTTACCTATGCCTGGGTGATATCATCTATTCCCATGGCTTCAGAAGTTACTTTCCATCAACTGATAGCTCTCACATCTACATCTCAAGACCAGATCTCTTTCCTGAGTTTGAGACCATATCTAAGTGCTTTCTGGACATGACTGTTACTCATGGTTTTCCTCAAACTGAATTCATCATCTTATTAATCTCATTACCATCTACTCTCTTTCCCAGGCCAGAAACTTGGCCTTCATATAACTCCTTTATCTTTCTCATTCTCATTGTTCAGATGATTAGCAAATTTTAGCAATTGTAATTTCTGTCTATTCCATTGACTTTGCTTAATCTCCACTGCCTCTATACTAGATTGGACCCCCTTAATCAACAACTTTGTAACCTCTCTTGCTAAATGAATAGCCAATCAGGACACTTCCCTGTTTTAAAAACTTCAGTCTTATTCCTCAGACAAAAACTCAAAGTCTTTAGTTGTTGCATGAAACCCTATTTTATTGGACCTTTTATTCTCACAGTTTTCTACTTTTAGTAATTTTGAATTATAAATAATTCCTAGAAAAACCCATGCCCTTCTGCCTCTGAATCTCCCTAGCAGTTGCCCTATCCCCATGTTCTTTCCCCTGACTAACACTTACCATTAAATTCTGACCTCTGATGCCACTTCCTTCACCCCCCTCCTATGAGTTAAGTATTCCTTAGTTGACTCCATCACATATTATAATCACTTTGTATTATAAATGGTCCCTAATCGGGCTGCTAACCGCAGGGTCAGCAGTATGAAACTACCAGCTGTTTCATGGGAGAAAGAGGAGGCCTTCTGTTCCTGTAAAGAATTACAGCCTCAGAAACCCTGTACAGGGTCACTATGAGTTGGAACGGACTCCATGGCACTTAACCAACCAACCAAATTGCTCTCACTCCCTCTACTTTGTAAGCCCTTTGAAAATACAAAGCAAGTTTGTCTAGCTTAACATTGAAACTCTTGACATTGAAGTATCTTAATTAGAATACCATGAAATCATTTCTAATCATTGTTTTTCTTACATTTTTATTACTCATGATCATTACTCTGATCCCACTTTGAGGATCTTTCTTTATATTTAAACTAATACTAACTGACTACTTGACTACTAAAGGCTTTCCCAGAGTACAGTTCTGTGGATTAACACTCCTTATCAACATTACAAGTTAGACATTCTTGCAAAATTAGCATACTTAACATTATACGAAGTCCACATATGTACATTTGTCTGTGAGGTTTACCTCTAAATATAACTAGGTATTGGTTGAAGGCCACAGAGTTTTAGTGGTAGAATTTTAAAAAGGTGAAGTAGAGAAATCAGAATTGTTCCTCCTGTTTAAGTACCATTTTTATATTTAATCTTCAGACATTCCATTTGAAGTAAAATTCAACTTAATGAAGTAAATATTAAAGAGAAAACTGTAACAGATTTCATTCAAGGAACATAATAGCAAACGAACAATGGCTGCAAATACCAGTACCATCACATGTAAAAATGGATGAAAGTCAGATACAAGAATGAAAACAAAGAAAAATGCGATTTTTTCCTAGTATATGATCAAGTACTTTTAGAATATATTATTTTTAAATAGCCTCACGTTTTATTTAGGAACCATGGTGGCATAGTGGTTAAAGCACACTTCATGAGAGAAAGATACAGCAATCAGTTTCCATAAAGATTTACAGCCTTGGAAATCCTATGGAGAGTTCTACTCTGCATTGTAAAGTCACTATGAGTCAGATATAGCTCTAGAGTAGTAAGGTTTCTTTGGTGTAAATTTTATCCAATATAGCAGGCAATACAACTTTTTAAAGTATTTTAACTATACTTCGAAATTTCTCCAGAATGACATATATTGGTTCTCTATTTATTTATTTATTTATTT